GCATCTTCCCCACATCTGGGAAGAATATAAAGGGGAACTTAGAACCCCTTTACAACAAGGGGACTCCCAGATATTTTCTCCCTCAAGGGAGTAAATACTGGGGTACATTAGTATTCATTATTACTCAACCCCCCCCCCCAAAAAAAAATATTTAATCAAAATACAATAGTAAACAATATCCTGTACTAAAAATCCATTGTCAATTACATCACCCAGTGATGTAAACCCATCATTACTGTAATGAGCCACCACTTCATGATGGTTTCTTGTTGTCACCCACAACCGCTCACCCGTCAGTGCTACCTTGCTATACACCCATCTCAAATGACAGGATCCCCAGGGCTGTGGTTATATAACACAGCTTAGGAGATCATGGGTGATGTAACTGACCAAATATATATTTGGTCAATGACATTACCTGGAATCTACAAAGCTGTTTTGTTTCACCCTGTAATATATTCCATTGTTATTATTTTAGCATATTATATGGGTTCTTCTGAAATTTAAATGGAGAATAGGTAGTATTAGTCAGCAAATGCTAGGTAACTAACTAGAAGTTGAAACCAGGATCTTGTTAACAACTCCAAGTCCTTCACCTTTCAAAAGGAAGACAGCCCATACATTGATCATTTTTTAATTTAACCAGCGGGTTGAACAAAAAAAAAAAATATCTGATTCACACATTTGAGGAGGATGGGGGAATCCTTCCTGCTGTGGTATTGTATTCTGATACCAGGTAGCCTTCAATGATCAGTGTTGCTGGCTATAGCTGGTGGAACTGATCATTTGGGAAAAACCTGACAGGTTGGCTGTACACAAGTCGATTGATAGACTGACTGACTGACTTGTGTACAATCAGCCTTCCCATACATGGATGATCTGATTCCCCCATCTACACATTTGAGATGGATGGGGGAATCCTTCCTGCTGTGGTATTGTATTTTGACAGAGGGGAGCCGTTCTCGTTGTCAGAATACATTGGTCAGTGTGGCTGATTTATTTTTTTATTTTTTTTGCGAATTTATTTATTTTTAAATATGCATCTTTCATTAAAATAATACCTGGCGATCCTGCATTCTTGTTCAGGCACAATGATGTGACAATGCTCTGCCTTTGTTTAAACTTGTGCTTCTGCATTATCAACTTGTATAAAAAAAAAAAAGCTTCCAATAGAAAGTACAAATGGTCATTGCTATGCTATGCAGTTGGAGTGTAAATCTGAAATACTTTTTTTTTTTTGGGGGGGGGGGCAGCACTTTCTTTGTGTATCACCTTTTGTAAACCAAACATCTGAGGCTCCACATGTACTGTTGTAAGGTTTACCTGAATTCTCTCTGTACAGTGCCTATACTTAGAAGGTCTTTTAACATTCATGTTCCTACAGCCTCTCAGAGTTGACAGTTGCTGGATGGGCTTCAACTCCGGAAGCACACAGCTACCACTGGAGTAACTCTCCACAAGTGTGAGGTTCTTGTGTTTCTCAGCTAGCTTCAGCTCTTTGACTTTAGTGACAGGACACAGCTCTCAGGCACATGGCTTGCTTATCTATGCACACATCCTCCCATGCACACAACTGTCAAGTCTAGTCCCACAGCCTCCAGATATACAGCCATCAACTCTAGGTCGACAGTCTCCAGGCACACTGCCATCAACTCTAGGTCCACAGCCTGAAGATACACGGCCATCAATTCTAGGTCCACAGCCTCCTGGCACACATCCATCAACTCTGGGTCCACAGACTGCAGGCACACAGCCATCAACTCTAGGTCCACAGCCTCCAGGCACACAGCCATCAACTCTAGGTCCACAGCCTCTAGGCACACAGCCATCAACTCTAGGTCCACAGCCTCCAGGCACACAGCCATCAACTCTAGGTCCACAGACTGCAGGCACAAGCCATCAACTCTAGGTCCACAGCCTCCAGGCACACAGCCATCAACTCTAGGTCCACAGCCTCCAGGCACACAGCCATCAACTCTAGGTCCACAGCCTCCAGGCACACAGCCATCAACTCTAGGTCCACAGCCTCCAGGCACACAGCCATCAACTCTAGGTCCACAACCTCCAGGCACACAGCCTGTGAGAAGGTAAGCTGTTAAAAGCACGGCTCCAGTCCCAGGGCCTCCCAGCAAGGACTTGTTCAACACTCTGCTGACAAACTCACAAGGGAGTGGCAAGCTAAATAAGGTAGAAATCCCTACACCACTCCACTTTCACAGCGCTCTGAAGCCTATTCAACAGAATGTAACAGTTATTGCAATATAAAAAGTTTCTAAGAACGGCAATCTTGAAAAGACTTGCAAAATGTTATAACTTAAATGAAGGAAGACTTAGGGTTTCCACATATTCCTAAAGTGGACCTTTCCCCCCTTTGACTAAAAATAACAACAGCATACAGCTCTGCATGCTAACATGAAATCATCTACATTCATTAGCTAAACAAACATTGTTTTGCTTTAACTTACAATTACCACGTTTACCATATACTGGTTGAGTGAGGCACTGGTGATGTAACCCTAGCCTCACAGATTCATCCTGAGAAGTTCCTGTCACATGTTGCAGGAGGCAGATCCAGAGTTGTATGCAGATTATAATAATTTTTTTGTATAAGGGTAAATTTTCTCTTTTAAGTGCTAAATTTTTATTAAGCAGCAAACGCAGTACATTTCAACTCCATTTTTGAGAGTGGCTTACAGCTCAGATACATGTAGATAGAATCAAAGCTACAGAAGCTTCACTTGAACAAATAGGACACTTCTGAATATAGCAGTGATTTACTTTGGCGCTAATCCTACTGCTTGTGTGTATTTTATCGCTTGCCAAAATATTACTTTACAACTCACCAACTGGCACCCAGGAGGCTTTGTTAATGCATGCCAGATGCCTTTATTTGACATCCATATCAACTTTTAATGACACTTGCCTTAAAAACATTCAATGCAAATAGTTTTTTTGTGAAAAAAGTATGAATTATGCTAGAGTGTTTTAATCATATTAGTTTATTTACAGGTTATTGTTCTACATTATCAGCTGTTGTTTGTTTATTTTGGAGAATACGGTGATAAACTACTATCTAAACATTTAAAGCAAATCAGTACTATATTAGATATATGTGCTGTATTGTAAAGGTCAAATGGATATATGATATATGAATATTGTGGACTCTTTCTATTTTTGTGCATATTAATGTAAAAATAATTTCCCATGTACTGCTGTTGTGCATATATATATAATAATCTGGAAGACCATCACTTGGCCGTGGGAGCTACAGTGGACAGTTCCACAGGAATGTTGCTCTTGAGAACAAAAATGCCATTTGGTACAGGTAAAAATTGGGAGAGTCTTGTGTCAGTTTCCAACTGTGGCAAAGTGTAGAAGGAGCCACTGCCATCACTACTTAGCAGCAATTAAAAGTGTTTCTAAACCCAAGAACAAAAAATGAATATATTGCAGCTTACCAGTTCTTAGATATAGTTCTAGCACAAATCCACCCCTCCTAGCACAAATGTCTCCTTGTAGCGCAACCCCTCCCAATCCCCCCTCTTAACTAAAAATCTCCCCAATCCCCTTCTTCTAGCACAAATTCCCCCCAATCCCCTCTCCTTGCACCCCCCCAATCCTCCCTCCTTGCACAACCCCACCCCAATCCCCTCTCAATCTACCATCCTAGCTCAAAATCCCCTTCCAATCACCACTCCTAACACACCTCCCCCCGCTCCCAAATCCCCCCTCCTAGCACCAATTCTCTTCCTTCAATCCCCCCACCTAGGACAAATTCTCTCCCAATTGCCCCTTCTAACACAAATTCTCCCAAATCCCCCTTTCTAACGCAAATCCCCCCCTCAATCCTTTTTCCTATCACAAATCCCCCCCCATCCCCCCCTTCCTTGCACAAATCTCCCCAATCCCCCATCCCAGCACCAATCCACTTCCTTCAATTCCCCCCACCTAGTACAATAAGATAAATTCCCCCAAATCCCCCCCCCAAATTACCCTTCCCAGCATAAAATCCTCCCACCTTACCCCCCTTTTATCACGAATATATTCCCCCAAACCTCCCTCCTACTCCTAGCACATATCATCCCCATTACCATTCCCAGTGCATATAGAGCCCCCCCCCCCCTCCTGCACAAACCTCTCATTTCAGCACAGATGATTACTAACCCTCTCCCCTTTCAGTGTACAATTCCCCTGACCTGTAGGCTCCACTCCCCCATGAACTTACAGATGTGAAACCAGGTAGAGGTGTGGCTTGTGCTGTGCTCTCACTCCTGTCAGTGGAGCAATCCTCCACACAGCAGATGACACTCTTCTGTCATTTCTCCTTTGCAAGCTTCACTGCATCACGCTGCTCTCCACTTGTCTCCACTTGTCCCAGCCGTAAGTTCGGGGATGGGGGAAGGCACAACATCCATGGAAATACAGGCCTTGGGGGGCACGACTGAGATCGGGGGGGCATAACCCACCCCAGCAGCCCCCCTAGATCCAGTCATGCTGGAGAGTAGGGAAACCAGTGACCATGGCTGCACCTCAGGTGACTGTGCGCAAGGAAGCTGCCTAGTTCACCTAGTGGTAGCTCTGGCCCTAGCTGCATAAGTTTCTTTTTCAAGATTTTTCCCTTTATTTTTACCTGGTATTCCTGCCAGTAGCACACTTCCAGTTTTAAGAACCTTCTCTCACTGTAATTTACCTATGGAGGAGCAGCTTTGCTCTTCTTACATGCCACCTGCAAATCTCATGCTTCTTGCTGTTTGGACAGGTCTAGCTCTGATCTTAGTGGGGGTTCATTAGCTCACCTTAAACCAGGGGCAGACTGACAACTCATGGGGCCCCCGGGCAATAGGGGATCATGGGGCTCCTGTGTCCCTGCCCACACTCAAACCACACCCAAAAAAAGCCTATGAAAGCTACCAGGGGCATCTCATGGGGCCCCTTACTGACCCTAGGCCCTCGGGCAGTGCCCGAGTTTTCGAATGGTCAGTCCACCCCTGCCTTAAAACTGATGCCAGTAGTGATGCACTGAAATATCAGCCACTGAAATCTATCAGCCAAATATAGGGTTATCAGCGTTTTGCCAATAGAAAAAAAAGGTGCCAATAATGTCATTGATTTTAATGCAAAACCACTTCCTGTGACTCCAGTGCAAAATTGTTCCGTATTGACTTTAATGTAAAATCTCATCTTATTGACTCCAATGTAAAATCGCCTTCCTTTGACTCCAGTGTAAAAATGCCCGCTATTGACTTCAATGCAAAATCGTGTCCTATTGACACCAATGCAAAATCGCATCCTATTGACTCCAATGTAAAAAATGGCCCCTATTGATTTCAATGCAAAATCATGTCCTATTGACTGCAATGCAAAATCAGGTTCCATTGACTCCAATGGAAAAATGCCCCCTATTGACTTAAATGCAAAATGCCTTTTTATTTAAGTTTTTTTAAATTTTATATATATATTTAATTTTACTTTCTGTCCAATTTTTTTGTGTTACTTTCAATAAAAGTTTATTTTATGTTACATGAATGTATTTTTAAAATTTACATACATTTAAATTAATGATATTAATTAAAAAGTTGAATATCATACAATTATATATAAAAAATATGTTTTTAAAAATTGTCCATTTTGGTTTCGGTTCTCGGCAGGGGTGTATTTACTGCAAGGCAAACAAGGCGTTTTGGCCTAGGGTAGCATTTCTAAGGGGGGTGGTAGCGGCGAGATCACCAAGGAGCTGGAGAGCAGACATCCGGGCACAGCACAACTCCTATGACAGGAGTATAAGAAGAGGGTGAAGGAGTGGATCCTAATTCCTGGCAGCTCATCCTTCTCTATGACTGCCAGGTGAGGGTAACAATCGTACATCTCCCCCTCTCTCTCTCTTTCTCTCTCTCTCTCTCTTTTCTCTCTCTCTTTTCTCTCTCTCTCTTTTTTCTCTCTCTCTCTCTTTCTCTCTTCCCGATTTTTGTGTTGCCTATGACAGCACGAAAGCAAAATACACCACTGGTTATACTATAATCTAGTATCACATATTAAGATCCATTTAATAAATGATTAACGCAGAACATGATTTTAGGAATTCATGCATGTAGTCATATGCATATAGTAAATCAACCACAGTGCTAAATACATTTCTGAATTCTTTGCGTATTTAGTCAATTCATGAGTAGGATTGTGGTAAACTTATTTTTTCAATATTGTACATCTGGAAATATATATAACTTCCCTTCATCGTGCCAGGGTTTTCAGATGTTTATCCACTCAAATTATGATTTTTCCAAAGCTACATCCTAATTGTGTTATATCATTATTGTATTACATTGCTCCATGCCTTGCAAACCATTCAAAATGTTCTCTCTTATGTGTAGCAAACAGTCTTCTGTTTTGGCTGCTGTAAAGCAGAACATTAAGCATTACTTTTCAATCATATATATCTTAAACAGTGAAGCGCTAAATAAATCAATAAATATATATATTAAGGTGCCATCAGTGGGTATAAGTGCTATAGTGTTATTAGTTTCCTTGTAGGTCACTGGAACATTCCAACCAATAGTGTATAAAATTAGAAACCAAACTGAATGCTTAATATATCAGTGAAAAATACTAAATAAATATATAAATATATATAAACACACCAGTGATAAATATTCTAATACCTCCAATAAAATCCTTCTTCTCATTCACAAAAAAAGTGCTCATTAGTGAACAAATAATCAAAAGCTCAAAAAGTGAACAAGTGTATAAAAAACTTTTCTACGTGCATATACAAAAAAATATATATATAAATATTACATATATATATAAATAAATAAAGTCCATGCAGGTGTAGCTTGTGATATAAAAAAACAGTGATCTTCACTTCTAGTGCTCACACACAAATCCTCAAATGGCAGCAGTGCCTGCTCACCTCCCCGCACTGACCCTCAAGGGGCCAAAAGGCTACTTAATCTCCTCTATGGCCAAACTTTCTCCTTCGGTAGCTCAGCAGGGGATCACAGGGTCTCCACTTCTCTCCACTCATACGTCATATAGGACATAAAACAGAGCTCCCATAGTATAATATTGTTTATTATAGGCCACTTCTATTACATATTGGTTGTACTCACAATTTTCTCCCTGGTTACAAAGACCTTCCACCTCATCCCATAGGTGTATCACATGAACACAGGGGAACACCAATATGGCCGCTCCGTTCGGACATGCGTCCCCACGTGACCGGAAGTGACGTAGTTCTGAAACCGGATATGGCGTACCGACGCGTTGCGTCACGTGCGTCGTGACTTCATCAGGGTTAACCGCCCACCAGTGTGTCTGAATGCATTTAAATAGGATCAGCCTAATCTCTCTTCCCATGGGTGTATCAACATGATTCCTTCTATATATATAAAAGATGTTCTTATATATGGTAGAGATTTGTATTAATGGTTAAAGTATTAATGGTCCTATTCTAATATTAAAGTTTTTCTTGAGGAATATTTAATTGGAATACAAGGTATATTAACATGCAAGGATGGGTCTATAGGTAGAAGGGTAATTCCATAGATGTGGTAATAATATATATATTCATATATATATATATATATTTTTTTATATGGGTTTTAGAATTTATATATATATTTTTATTTGGTGTCTTATTAAATATAATTACTATGTGTAAAAAGGTTTTTTTTAATATAATAAAGAGATTTTTTAATATGGGGGTGGTTTGTGGGGTTTTAAACTATATAGTGATACTCCATAGATTATCGGTTAATAATGGGATATAAGAATTGCATTAATAAATAGTGTTATAGATCGAAGGTTTTTTTCCCATAGGGGGACTTTTATGATAATGTGCCTCTGTGTAGTATAATGACATAGCTGCTTTCGGAAAACGGCCGCCGAGAGCCCGCCTATCTAATGGGAAGAGAGATTAGGCTGATCCTATTTAAAAATGCATTCCCAGACACTGGTGGCGTTAACCCTGAATGAAGTCACCGACGCACGTGACGCAAACGCCGCGGTACGCATACCGGTTCAAACTAGTCACTTCCCGGTCACAGTGGTACGCATGTCCGATACGCGAAAAAGCGGCATATAGGTGTTCCCCCTGTTGTTCATGTGATACACCTATCGGATAGGTGGAATATGAAAAAAGGGAAGGGAGAAGTGGATACCCCTTTATCCCCCGCTGAGCTACCCCAAAGAAAAGGGAAAAATTTTGGGCCCTTTTGGAGATTAAGTAGCCTTTTGGGCCCCGGGGTCCGTGGGGGAGTGAGGGAGGCATTTCCCGCCATTTGAGGGTTTTGTGTTTGGCCCCTAGAAGTGAAGATCACCCGTTTTTTTTTTTAACCAAAACCTGCCCTGGACTTTATTTATTTATAAATAAAATGTTTAAAATTTATATATATAAATTTTTTGGGAAATGCCACCCCCAAAAAAAATTTAAAAAATTTAAAAAAACACCTTTTTCACTCTTTTTGCCCTTTTGAA